ACCCCATATCTGTGTGTGTATGCAAGAGAGAGTTCTTTTTTATGATGAGAAGTACTGTGTTTCTTGGTGGGCTAGAGACAGAGAGAGTTCAGATAAAGAGAAGGGCATTGCTTGGTGGGATATATATGTATGCAGTTGCACAACATGTAGATAGTGGTAGGGAAGGAAGGTGGTGTTACTTTTAGAGGAAACTGCATACAATCTTAAGTGTAATCTCCACTAATTATTAATTAATCGAAGATTAGAGGTCCAAAATCACAAAAGATTTAGTTGTAATTATCCAATATAATAAAAGCATCCAATTGAATCTTCTTGCAAATTTTGTGTTGGATTATCTTTAATTTGATATAAGCTCTTGGGATTTTCGAAGGGCTAGTAATTCTCCAAGGCGACCCTTTGTATAAGTGAGTTACAATAACATTAATTTGCACGTTGATCACCGAGTTACATATTGTAATCCATTTGAAATTATTAACTTTTTAAATATATTGCTTTCTACACATTCAGAAGAATAATTCTATTGAATCACGTAATTCTACATTTCGTTGAGTCTATCGCTTAGCACCACCTAAACTAGTGTTGTAACGTCAGTGGTTCTGAATATCATTATTCCATTGTAGCACCAGTTGAAAATTCAGCATGAGTAGAGAAAAATATAGTATGTCTGATACAAATTGAAACCTATGGTGGCACCACAAAAATGAAGATGGCAAATGAAAAGTTGTCTTCCATAAGGAGTCAATTTTCCTGCACATCTCAGAAATAAAATGAAGGGCCCACGGAATATGTTGAGCGTATATAGATTTGGCTTTACAAAGGATGGATCTTTTGGGACCTATCTATTATACGGTGATTGGCCATTAAGTTGATTTCTAGAGAGAGAGAGCAGATTGAGATGTTGGCAAAAAAGTGGTGCTCATGTACTTACCTGTAGAAACACTTGTTTAAAATCACCCTGAGATATAGACAAGTGATTGATCCACTAATATGTATCGTGTAAAAAACGTGGAAGATTTTCCACTACAAAGGAAATCTAACTTTTTTTTTGATAAGAAACAAAGGAAATCTAACTTATCAACTTCATACATATAACAAATCCTTTATAATAATCTATAAAATCCTTAAAAGCTCCAGCTTTTGCACACTGTCACATCACAAGAAATTATTTGGGTCGAATGATGCCTACCAAAATTTGATATGGTCTGCAACTAATAGGTTAGAATGAATACGAGTGTTAGCCAGACCATAGCCTACAAATTTTTTTTATTTTCTTAATTGAAGATGACCCTAGAAGTGTCAAGACGGACGGGCCGACCAAACCCGTGAAAATCGACCCGAATTTACCCGGGACCGCGAGCCGACCTGTGACCCGAGCGGGCGGTTCAAGAGTCAAGGAGGTGTGACCCGCGAGCTTCGCGAGTTGCACCTTCATGGACCGCGGTTA